AAGATGATAAATCTAGAAGTTGCCAAAATTTGATTGCATTAATTCCAAATGTCAAATATGTGTGGAATCAAAGTATGCTAAGCATCCTTATAAGTCCGTTGAAAGGAATTCAAGTCCTTTAGACTTAATTCACACAGATATTTGCGACATGAAGTCAACACCATCTCGCGGTGGGAAAAAGTATTTTATTACTTTTATTGACGATAGCACGAGATACTGCTATGTTTATTTACTTAATAGTAAAGATGAGGCAATTGATGCTTTCAAGCAATACAAGAGTGAAGTTGAAACGCAACTAAACAAAAAGATCAAAATGATAAGAAGTGATAGGGGTGGCGAATATGAATCTCCTTTTGAAGAAATATGTTTGGAAAATGGCATTATTCACCAAACAACTGCCCTTTACTCTCCACAATCTAACGGAATTGCGGAGAGAAAGAATCGAACATTGAAGGAGATGATGAATGCGTTGCTGATAAGTTCTGGCTTACCACAAAACTTGTGGGGGGAAGCTATACTTACAGCTAACCGAATAATCAACCGTGTACCTCATAGTAAAACACAATCCATTCCTTATGAGAAGTGGAAAGGAAGGAAGCCTAGCTTGAAATACTTGAAAGTGTGGGGGTGTTTAGCTAAGGTACAAGTTCCTAAACCTAAAAGGGTTAAGATAGGTCAAAAAACGGTTGATTGTCTGTTTATTGGATATGTAACCAATAGCAAGGCATATCGTTTTCTGGTTCATAAATCAGAAAATCCTGAGATTCACATTAATACGATAATAGAATCAGATAATGCTGAATTCTTTGAAACTATTTTTCCATATAAAAAGGAAAGTGAAGTGACCTGCCAAAAGTCAAAACGACTTCGGGAGGAAATAATAGATGATATGCCTAATGAAGAAAATCCGAGAAGAAGTAAACGTCAAAGGACATCTACTTCATTCGGTCCAGATTTTCTGACTTTTCTGTTAGAAAATGAGCCTCGTACCTTCAAGGAAGATTCATTGTCTTCCTCAGAGGCACAATATTGGAAAGAAGCTGTCAATAGTGAAATAGAATCCATATTGAGCAACCATACTTGGGAATTGGTTGATCTTCCTCCAGGTAACAAAACGTTGGGTTATAAATGGATTTTCAAGAAGAAAATGAAAGACGATGGTACTATTGACAAATACAAGGCAAGACTTGTTGTCAAAGGATTTAGACAACGAGAAGGTCTTGACTATTTTGACACATACTCGCCGGTAACAAGAATTACATCCATTCGGATGCTAATAGCGTTAGCCGCCTTGTATGGTCTTCAAATCCATCAAATGGATGTAAAAACAGCCTTCTTAAATGGTGATCTTGAGGAAGAAATTTACATGAACCAACTTGAAGGGTTTGTGGTTCCGGGAAAAGAAAAGAAGGTGTGTAGACTTGTTAAGTCTCTTTATGGACTAAAACAAGCACCCAAACAATGGCATGCGAAATTTGACCAAACAATGTTGTCAAATGGTTTTAAGATTAATGAATGTGATAAATGTGTTTACATTAAGAACGTTCCAAATCATATAGTCATTGTTTGCTTATATGTTGATGATATGCTAATAATGAGCAAAGACATTGCCGACATTCAAGCTACTAAGCGCATGCTTGCTAGTAAGTTTGATATGAAAGACTTAGGAGTTGCCGATGTAATTCTAGGAATTAAAATCCAGAGGACTCCTCAAGGTCTAGCTTTGTCTCAATCACATTACGTGAAAATGGTACTTGAAAAATTTAAACACTTGGAATTTAGAAGTGCAAGAACTCCAATTGACTTAAATCATCATCTCATAAAGAATAAAGATGAAAGTACGTCTCAATTGGAGTATGCTCGTGTGTTGGGAAGCTTAATGTACATCATGAACTGTACACGACCTGATATAGCTTGTGCGATAAGTAAACTTAGTCGATTCACAAGTAATCCCAACAAACATCACTGGGTAGCAATGAAACGAGTTCTGGGATATTTGGAATATACCCAAGACTACGCTTTGCACTACAATAAATATCATACGGTTATTGAAGGATATAGTGATGCTAATTGGATAACCGGCTCATCAGAAACAAAGTCCACAAGTGGATATGTGTTTACTGTTGGTGGAGGAGCAGTATCTTGGAACCAAACAAACGTGTATCGCTCGCTCTACAATGGAATCAGAGTTTATAACGTTGGATAAAGCCGGTGAAGAAGCTGAATGGCTTCAGAATTTTTTAGAAGACATTCCGTTCTGGCCAAAACCTTTGGCTCCTATTTGCATACATTGCGATAGTGAGGCTGCAATAGGACGGGCAGGGAGCGTTATGTATAACGGAAAGTCTCGTCATATACGACGAAGACATAACACCGCTAGACAACTACTTTCTAGTGGAATTATCACTATTGATTATGTAAGATCAAATAATGTGGCGGATCCGCTTACAAAAGACTTAACTAGAGAGGGAGTTGAGAAATCATCTAAGGGAATGGGACTATGGCCGAGGACAAGTCAACATGGCGGTAACTCTACCTAGAATTTTGGATGTTCCGAGATCTAGGTTCAAGGAGCTCAAACAAAGTTGTGATTGACCGGTTCAACATTGTAAAAATAAAATTTTTGATCCATTCTCGTGATGAAGACAATGTTCAGTAACAAGGATAGAACTTTACACGTTCTTTAATGATTACCTAAGTTTGATGGGTATTTATCAAATAGTGTCAATCTAAAGGATTACACGTTTAGGAATCACCTATGTAAGTGTGAAGTGGAAGCCGCTTCAGTGAGAATTCTGTAAGGCCAATTCTCTACGCACTTATGAAACCAGGCGGTGTTCATGGCTAAAAACGAACACAACAACGAGAACCAAAAGACGGTTAAGGGTTGGTTGTGTGACATATGGTTGTCTAGGTATACACTAAAGTTCGACGGTTCAAAGATATCAAATCTACCGATTGACCGAGTATATCCGACATATGTTCACTACGGAAAGTTCAAAGGGAAACCTACTTATCCAGATGCAATTAATCCTTACTTGCAAAATCACATAGCTTTCATCTATGATCTTTCTTGATACAGCCATTCCCATTTATGTGGGGGATTGTTGGACTTTAAGCCACTGGGTTTTAAAGTAGAAGAAGTGTAAATTGGAAATGGAGGAAAATAAAATGGAGGGAAATTGAAAATTTGAAGAAGTGAACTTTTGTCTTGCACTTTGTCCCTCATTGGTGAGGGACAACCACATTTGTGTGCTTATATATAGAATCACTTCTTAAAGCTCTTAAAAGGAGTTGAAGAGAATGAACCCTCGCGCCGTCGTCGCCGCTCGCTCGGCTTGACTTCGGCTTTGGATTTGGATTTGGCAAATGATTGATCGATAAGATTATGTTTGGACAAAATTTATTTAATTATTTAATAATTAATTAAATGGCAAATCACTGCTGAAAATACGCCAAAACCCTGCTGAAGGTTCCGAGGGCCTCTCTGGCCGCGGCTCTGCCGCGACCGCGGTAGAACCGCGGCAGGCTGATTCAGAGAGCCTCTCTGTACCGCGGCAGGCAGCGTATTCTTCTGAAAAGGCACCTTTTCCAGACACCTCTTCTGATAATTGCCTATAAATTCTGAGGCAAGGCTCCATTTTCTACACACGAAAAACACTCCAGAACTTCTTTCTTTCTGAATATACTGCATCCTAATTCGCAGTCACTCTCTCTCAAATTCGTAAGTGTGATTTTGCTCCGTTCTTTGAGTTCGTTGGTATCCTGCAATTTGTATTGCCACTGTTGCAGGAAGGTTTATTCCGTTTTATCCTGGGAGGATTTAATCCATTACCTTGGCAACGTGTGAGGGGATTAAAATTCCTTAAGGACACACAAGAAAATTGTGGACTCGGAATATTTCTTAAACTCTTCTGTTTTTTCAGTTTCTTTTATTTTTTCTAACAGTTTTTTTTCCTGATTTTTGATTTAACACAGTAACGCTCACAAATAGTTCCAAGATAAAAATTAAATATGACAACATGAATTATCAATAGCTAAGGTACGGTTGAAGACAACATTCCAAGCCAAGTTTTCCTCAACTTTTGCACCTACATAGAATCTGTTTTTTTTTTAATCTTAAGTGAAAAAATAAGTGCTTCCAGGCTTCAGCATTTCAAGAAATATATAAAAGAAAATTTGTGTTAAAATTAATTGCTATAATTTTTTTTTATGAATAATGATAAAAGGTAGAGAGAAATGCCTTTCAACAATCAAGCTCCATTTCTCATGACTATTATTATTACGTAATTAATTTCACTATGGAAAAGTTAACCCTGCAATAGGAAACTTAAAAAAGTAAAACAAATTTCCAAAAGGGAAAATATTCAAAAGGGAGTAAGGAAACTTAAAGGTCAAACCGAAAACTTTGATCGTATCTCTTAAACTTTAGTAGAAACGTTAGATGACAACTAAAATATTTTAGTTAAGTGAATTAGTTGATAGAAGGAACAGTTCATACACAAGGTAGAAATAAGGTCATTCTTATTATCCTCCTTAGATTCCACTTGTGAAATTTTACTGGATTATCGTTGTTATTGTTATTTTGCAAATATTATAAATATTATTTTTGTATCAAATTATTAAAATTAACTTTACTCACAAAAGGTAGTAAGTTACGTACTCGGCATGTAATGCAAGAATTTTTGTTATATTGCCAATTATATATAATTTAATTCTTCGTTGGAGACAACAATAAAAGAGAGAGGCAAAAGGTCCAAATTTGCTCATAAATATTTTGTTTAACTTTGTTCTCGATTAGGAGTCAACAATAACAATATCGTTTCTTTTTAGTATGTACAAATAACTATCATATTTTTATATCTAAGACTTATTTTAAATATAATTTTAAAAATTATTTAATTTTTTCTGATATATTAGTATATCACCTAACAAGGAAAAAAGCCGCTTACTGAATTTAAACATGCGCCAGCTTAGCCAGCATGGGTAGAAGTCAGACAAAAGACACTGTCCCACGTTTCTTTCCTACTTGGCATCACTCTCCCCACTCTCTCTATTTCTCCCTCCTTTTCTCTGTCTCTCTCCATAATCCTAAATAAAATTCCCAATTTTTGTAAAAACCCAATCATTTCTCTTCACCTCGAGATCCTCGCCGCTAAACAACTTCCAAATCCCACCTCCGTCGCCGGAAACCGTCCGAATCCGTCCTTAAAATAGAATCTCCGGCAGATACCTAAAATATTATATAGAGAAGATCGCTGTCGAAATGAGTAACGGAGAGCTACTTCAAATCGAACCTATTGAGCTTCAGTTTCCCTGTAAAGTCATTCTATTAGAAACTTCTAGAACATTCTCTACCTTGTTTGAACTTGTTAGATCCGTCTGTTGTTCTCTTGTTTTGATTTTGTTTTTTTCTTCTTATGTTGAATAGTCGAATTGAAGAAGCAGATCTCATGCTCCTTGCAATTGACCAACAAATCCGATAACTATGTTGCCTTCAAGGTATCATGCAAATTTACTGTAATTATTATTATTATTTTTTTTTGTTGTGATTACATTTTCTTTTTGGAATTTAGGTGAAGACGACGAATCCAAAGAAGTACTGTGTAAGGCCTAACACTGGAATTGTGATGCCTCACTCTACCTGTGATGTCACAGGTCTCTCTCTCTCTCTCTCTCTCTCACACACACACACACACACACACAGTTCTCCTTATATGTATGCCGCTGCATGTTCTTTTGAGTTTGCTAAATATCTTTTTACTAGTAATTGGTGTTATAATTATTAGTAGTAGTTAGGGATTAAGATGTAGTAATTGTTGATATTGATGTTTTTTTGTTTTGTTTTGTAATTGTTTATACGATTTATGGGTTCAGTTACAATGCAAGCACAAAAAGAGGCACCACCAGACATGCAATGCAAGGATAAGTTCCTGCTTCAAAGTGTCGTGGCAGGCCCTGGAACTACGCCTACGGATATTACTCCAGAAATGGTAAAGATTATTAAAGTTTTGTTGTTGTGGTTGTTATTGTTGTTAATTGATTTGAAATATCTGTTCTTGTTATTGTTTCTGTTCTGCTAAATGTTAATTGATGAGAAGTACCATGGTTTATCTGCGGGTATTTTGGTTTTTTAGTTCAACAAGGAGTCAGGGAATCATGTTGACGAGTGCAAGTTGAGAGTGGCTTATGTTCCACCTCAACCACCATCACCTGTGCGGGAGGGGTCTGAGGAAGGTTCCTCACCTAGAGCTTCTATATCTGAAAATGGAGCTGAGTTCCACAATGTGAGTTTTTAGGTGTCTTGCCCTTATGAATTTGAAGATTAAAGATTTCTTTTTTGGGGTAAAAGCTAGCAGGATTCAAATGGAAAATGAGATATCCGGTTGTTATGCAGGCTTCAAGGACATATGCTGAGCCACAGGACAACTCATCAGAGGTAGTTTTCATTTTCCAGAATTTATGATGTTTCTCTGGTAACTGATAAGTTACTTGATTTGTGTTATTATCTTTGTTGTCAAGTACGTACTCATGTCAACAGGAACCACTAAGTTTCTGGTATCTTGGAGTCAACATTGTGTGGCTAGCATTTATTTTGCTTATTGTTGCAGTAGCATATTGTCCATTATACAGTAAATATCACTTGATAACCATGACTTTGTAGCTTTCAAGAATTTCCCTCATCGCATTCATGGTAGTCCTAGTCCCGTTCATGGTAGTCCTAGTTGTGCCTGTTTGTTTAGTATTTTCAACACAGTTTAATCTTACCATATTGTTTTCTGTGCAATTAGGGAGAGCTTCTATTGATGTCTATTCATTGTAAACTTTTTTGTTCTTAGTGGTTGGTTAGAGATTTTTTTTCCCTTCACATATTTGCATTTTTAGCTGCCTGGATTTCTTCGATTAACAGATTATTGCATACCTTCGTTAACTTTAGAAGGTTTTTCATCCTGTCTTATTTGGCTTGAGGTGTGATCAGTGATCAAACTCTCCGCCCCCTCAAAGACAAAAACGAAAAACAGAAATACTACATTTTATAGATGTTATATAGGGGACTTTCATATATAATACGTAATAATTACTTCTAGAAGGGGCTTACATATAGATTTCAGTCTGTTTCGAACATCCAGTGTAGGTTGTTTGAAGAGAAAGAATTTGGAAGCCACCTTTTTATATTGGTTGCTCCGGACAGTGAAGTCAATCCCTTGATGTGAGTTAAGGTCCAATATGGCTAGCAGCAGATAAATTCTTCCTGAGTACAACTTATTTTTCTTTGTATAATTGCTCTTATAAATCAACCGTTAACCAATGATGACTGACTCACTAGGTAGAAAAGCTTTTGTGCTCTCAGTTGCTAAATGGTGAACATGAAAGCAAAATGCTTCAGTGTTCAGTCATCAAATTAAAGAAAATGCTGACTTGAAAACTAGAGGGGATGGGTTGCTTTTACGGAATAGTGAATAGAGAAGAAGGGATAATGTGCTAATGTTTACATCAAATCCAAACTTCCAAAATTGAGGCTAAATGAAACAACAGAAGGTAGTTGTCCAGTTTCTAGATGCATCTTAATGAGGATTCCGGGGGGAATTTATAGCAAAAGGTATATTAAACATGGCAATCTTTCTAGGGCCTTTGCATTTGAGCATTGAGAATTGTTTGGTTTGTGTGTCTCTTTTTTCCACCTTTCCAGTGTTTTGCTCTTATAAAGTGGCCAAGATTTTTCTTGGAATACTGTCGTTTTTAATTTGACTTTATTATTATGTTTTCTAATTGCAAGGTGTTAGCCCCACATTGGTTGAGGGATCAGCCATAGTCTAGTCTCTTTATATGGTGTTGTATGATCCTCACCTTTTGCGTCGACTTAGGTCCAATGTCTATTTTTCTTAATATGATATTATAATAGAGTCAAATGCATCCCTGATGTTGGCCCGATGTGGGCGTGGGCCTTGTCCACTCTCCAGATGTTCAGTCCTGGGCGTGCCAGGATGTTAGTCTTACACTTGCTGAGGGTATGGACAGTTGTCTCCTTTTCTCTTTTTTTTTTTGGCTTGATGAAATGGACATTTGTCTTGGACAATCCTCAACTCACGAGCTGGACTTCGAGGTTGAGTTAGGTTCGAGGTCCCTTTTTTTAGCACAAGGTATTACCACGTGGGTATGGAATATAGTGTTCCTTGATTGTCTAATCAGAATGACAACTGAGCAATGGGAAAGGTACTTTGGATATGCTATGCCCTTTGCATTGAGTGGAGTATCATTGTTTTCATTGTATACTTCTTTTTTCCTCATTTGCAAATTAATAAAAATATTGCCCCAATACCGTAATTGCCAGTATCACACAATGAAATAAATGAGAATGTATTAGATTCTAAATATCTTAGCCACTCGAATACCTGGTTACCTCCTGATTGTGGTTAAAAACTCAGTCTGGATCAGGCATATCAACTGATCTTTGCTACAGAGGTTGAGCTATAAAACACCTGTAATTTGAGGAAGAATGGCAAACCACTTCAGTTGTTGAGGGATAGCTGAAATTATCAAGCTTCCCTCAGGAGAGCCAATAGGCAGATCTTTTTAATTCTAATAAACAAATTCTCTAATTGAACTTTCTCGCCCTTGAAATTTTGTAAGTTCATAGCATGTTCCCTGTACTCTTATCTCCACCATGCACCCATTCTGTCAAAAAGGACAACTCTCTGCAAAGCTAGTTGATTTGAGCTATGTATCAAAAGCTGTTATAAATCTCATGTATAGTTCCTCATTATTTCTGACCCAGCCTCCATCTTTTTACCTGTAATATAGGTGGTGCTTTTCTTTGCCATTTTGGCTCAAAATGTTGTTATACATGCATACGAGAGAAGTAAACTGTTGCTTACAGAAGAAAAAAATTACTAGGATTTAATCTAATATAGACAACTCATAATGGAGCTTTATTGTGTTAAAAGTTTTGCTAGGTTGTCGTAGATCAAACTTTTGCTTGGTGAAGACATCCTTTATTCCAGAAGAATTACAAAGTCATGTTCCTTTTCTTGTTGTGTTGGCCACCTACTGTGGGCAGTTTTATTTTAATGATGCGTTGTTATTTGGATATCCTTTCCTTTTTTGAAGTTGTTTATTCTCATGATCAATGCTATATTGGACATGCAATCATCTTCTAAGAAATTTCATATATCTGTGTATTTGATCCTTTGGTATGTAAGAGCTGGTACTACTATGTTCTTCTGGCTTAATATTTTAACTTGGACCACTAACAGTGATGCTAGAAGAATTCAAGATAAGTAGGAGAAAACCTGTCAGTCTAAAATCTCTCTCTGAAGTTCGAGTGGAATCATTTGGTTCTATGATGGTATAAGACACATTCGTTTTCTTGCATATATTATTAGCTGTATAAAACATTTATTTTGTAGCTCTAGTCATTTTTTAGGCTTTTGTAAATTACAAGTGTAACTAATGACTGCTTAGGCCCTGCATTTTTTTGGCTTCAGCAAATGTACTGTTTAAAATTTTCTTTCCACTCATTCAAATGAATACTTGTTTCATAATAGGTGGATGTTACAGACTGTAAAGTTTGTCGTTTTAACTAAACCTGGATCGCTGTACACTGTTCTTTGGAGAAGAAAAGATGCAGAATAACTTTTTAAGGAAACAAAAGATTGAGGAATCTTTTTCTTTTATTTGCAGGCAAAAACACTAATTTTGAAGCTGACAGAGGAGAAAAATTCTGCAATGCAGCGAAGTAACAAGCTTCAGCAAGAACTGGTAAGGGCTTTAACATAGAAAATTAGAAATATATATTACTGGTTTTTTTTTCCGTCTTATAAGAATTCTTGCAACTTCTCACTATATCTTACAGGATGTATCAGCAATTTCAGAATTGATCTTTCTGTTTTCTTTTTCTTTCTTTCTTCTTCTTCTTCTTTTTTTTTTTTTTGAGAAGGTACATTTGTTGTACATATATTAACTGCACCAAAGCTAGTGCAATCATCCATAGTTACAAAAGGTGGAAAAAAGTGTATTAAGCCTTAACCTACTTACAAGGATCCTAAAACATCAACAAAAGACTCTAGATCTTCCATGTATTCTTGCTTACACCAAAAATAGTTTTCTTTCTTTTTTCCTTCTCTTTAAAGAGATTGAAGGGTTCAGAAGAAAAAAATTGAACTTCAATTAATAGCTGATTAGAGAGGGCTAAAGATTGTACTTGGAGCAATGGTAAGGTTGTCTCCATGTGACCTATAGGCCACGGGTTCGAGCCGTGGAAGCAGCCACTAATGCTCGCATTAGGGTAGACTGTCTACATTATACACCCCTTGGGGTGCGACCCTTCCCCGGACCCTACGCAGGATGCTTTGTGCACACCGGGATGCCCCACCATGGCAGTCCGATGCTTTGTGCACCGGGCTGCTATGGTGTTTGTGTATTTAGGCAATGACAGGGTGATTGAGAGAAATAAGATTTTTCAATTACATGGTCAGATATGTTAACTACGTAAGTGGATCTTGAGGTCTGGACATGCATAGGACAGGCATTCTGTTAGTAGGTCAAGCATAGAACAAGCATTCTGTTAGTTGGTCAAGCCATTGTATAACCTTTCTGCATTGATGAGGCAAGCATCCTTTGTTTTATTTGTTCCCTTTGTTTTGATAACTGCATCCCTCTCTGCTGCTATAGGAAAGCATTGCCTTTTTCTTAATCACATGGATGAAAGCACATTCTTTCTTTAATTCGTGTGCACATAAGATGAAATCTTTTATTATGGAAAAGGACGATATAGCTTGATAAGCTGCGCAGTGGATCTCAAAAAAGGCGACAATTAGAGAACCTCGTCGTCAGTTCACGTTTGCATGTGCTACCTTTAAGGGCGGGCTAGCGTGTGGCATTTTCATTATTTTGGTAATGAATGGATTAATCATGAGCTCTCGCTTGCTTTTTGGTGACTGTATGATTAGCTAATTGCTATATTTGTTGCTGCCGTGTAAGAGAATTAAGGGTCAGGCTACTGCATTTTGAAGTCACTGGCTCTTGAACTGAAATTCTATTCTAAATATTTGACACAGAACCGAGTGGCATCTTTTCCCATGATGGCACTGCAAGAAACTTATTGTGGCCTTCTGAATGTTATCCTTAAACTTCATGAACCTTGTTGGATGCAGGAGTTCTTGAAGCGTGAAAGCAGCAGAAGTCGTGGCGGAATCCCATTTATGTATGTTGTTATTGTTGGACTGCTTGGGATCTTTCTTGGCTATCTTCTCAAGAAGACATGATCACTAAGAGGTTGCTGCTGTATCGTCAGTGCCCCAAGTGTTAAAAATTATAGAACCTTGAAGAAAAAGGTGACTAATCCAGTAAAGCTTTGTATCATTAGTTGTCTGGTTGACTGAAATGTACAAGACAGGTTTTAATCTGTTTCTGTAATGTGAGCTCAAGAGCTTCATCGTGTGACTAACTGCATTTGACATCCTTTGCCTACATGTGGAGGAGACAATTTAGTTTGCCAATTAAGCATACCTCCTGATTATGGTCTGTTCACTGATAGTCTTTAGAGTTGATGTGATCTTATTGGTATGGACAGACGGTTTTGATTTACTTAGACTAGTTTTACATTTATAGTTACAACCTTATTTCTTTAGATTTCATACTCTCTAATATCTTATGTTATGCAATTTTCTAGTTATAAACATATGATGTTTAGAAGTTGAATCTCATTCAAGCTCTACCAGCAGGCAAACTTGAAAACTGTATAGGATGGCTAGCTATTTGAAAAACTGAAAGTTGCACAAAATAAGATTTCTGGTATAGTGCTGCTATGCAAGGATCATTAGTAGTTCATTCTGGTAGGACTGATTGGTATTCTCTAACTTTTCAGTCCCCAGCAAGACTAGACATTCAACCAATGTTAGCTCAAAGCTTGTGAACTTTAGAATTATCATTAGAGGTAAAAATACTGGAGTAAGATTGGTTTGAGTTAAGCAGAGCGGATAGAGGATTCAGACAGCTGACTCAAAGTTTGAGACTGAGATATAGTTCAGTAATTGATTGAGAGAAAGAAGGTGCAACCTGGCAGAACAATGAATAACAAAAATGCATATACAAGAATGAGCAAAGCTCCTCGTTTAATAAGGAAAATAAAGCAAAAATAACTGGTTAAAGTTAATGGAGGATAATATCTCCTATGACCAGAGAGTTAATCTGAGGTCATTGCGTTCCAACATTCAATGGCCGTCTTTTTGAAGAATTTACAACATGTTGGCTGGAAGAATTCAGAATGAAAGCAAAAGGAGAAGATACTATTGATTGTACTAATATCTAAGGTTAAAATAACCCTTCTTTCCTTTCCATTCTAAGCAAAAATCACTATATGGCTTCTCTTCTGAATCCAAGCTCGAAGCCATCATTTGAAGCCCGTTGCAATTGTCAGTTCATCTTGTGCGAGATTCCGAGAACTTCTTTTTTTTCTCAAGTTATCTAACTTTTTTAGCTATAACATTTCCCCTCTCACTAAGGTAGTGACATGAAGTCCAAGCCAGTCATGTCCAATATGACACAAAGTCCTCTATATCTTTAGAAGATTTAAGTACTCTTTGAATACATCATCAAGCAGCATCTTCAGAACCTTTTATCATATTGCATCTGACCACAATCTTGCGAAAATCATCCAGACTCAACTGCGATACACCATTACAACAGGGTAGAAAGGCATGAGAAAAAACAAGAATGATTGACGAACTTAGAAGTATAATACATTATAGGACAGATAGACGTTGACCAAATCATTATTGTCATCATTTTTGTTGTCTTAGTACATATCATTTACGAAATTAATACTATAGCTACAACAAAGAACCAGAAAAAACAACTGTGCAGGTTTTAGTTAGTTTTTCTCCCATTGAAGGTCATGGAAAAGATTGTCAAAAACCTAGCAAAAGAAAACAGGATTAGCCATTTTTTTTTCTTTTCAGTTGCAGATGGGTGATAACCTACCTCCATATAACTAACCAAATCTTTCTAAATACCTAATCTATAAAGCCCAAACACCTTAATGTGCCTCAATGGCTAGTTTATGATTAATTGCTTTGACTTGTCTACATTCAACCCAAGCATGAAAGCAATAAAAATTTAATACTAGTAGAACCAGTACTCCATGATCTCTTCCTCTTTGAATCTTATCCAAAACTTAGGCCTTCACTGAATAGGGAATACTTTTGTAGTTTAGAAACCAAAAAAATTTAAAATTTAAAGGAAACAAGTACCTTTCCATCTCCATTAGAATCAAAGCAATGTATCATCTTTGCCATCTCCTCATCTGACCATGTAAAATCATGGGAAGCTGCCACTCTCCGTAAATCTCTGAGACTTATACTTCCTTTTCCAGCTTCTGTGAGAAAGATACCAACTAATCGGTAGGGCATATACAATCAATCTAGAATAGCAAACAAAGAAATTTGATGCTACAACATGCCGGAAGTACATGCTACATCACATAAAAAAGTTTCAGTATTGTGGACCAAAAACTGTATAATTTATCACTTTCACATGTACAAGATGATAAATCTTAAAATGCAGACTCAGCATTACCATCGAACTGAAAGAAATGCATAATCAAGTCATCCTCAGTCATCTGCACTCGATTTCTTGTCTGCTAAATACAATTGTAAAGTACCCAAGCATAAGGAAGGAGTATGAGAAAGTTTCAGAATTTTCACTGATTTAGTAAAGTAAATAATAAAACGTACCTGTTGTTTTCTCTTCCTTTTCCCAGTAGTATCTCCCTGATTGCAGGAACCTACTTCTTTTTCATTACCGGCCTTTTTGGAAAGAGTTTTTTCGTTACTGGCCTTATGAGCAGAATCTGCATCAGTGACTTGCGTAGGCACTTTATTTGCAAGATTCAGAAAACCTGCAGAATCTTGTAATGACAAGGCAATAGCCTGCATAGACATAAGTTTTACTCAGCCTCCCACATAAGAGTAATGCGGATGTATCTTTCCGTTTTTATATATGTATATGCGTGTCAATAAGACTGAAAAATAGTGAATTTCACCTGCATTAAGGCGTCATCATCGTCCACAAAATCCGTGTCAGTTGGTACCGTAGTGTTAGAAACTCTCTTCTTAGGAGTTTGAGTTTTTTTCTTTGACTGCAAGAAGAGATCCAAGGAAAATTAACAGGATACCAAACTAGAATATTTTGTCTATCCAACTGCAGAAGCATATAAAAAGGATTAAATGCAGGGCAAGCACATTATGATGGCAGCCTTTCCGCACAGACAACTCCACAGCTCAGAATTCGGATGTACTTAGATTCATTAATTTAAAGCAGTTGTATTATGCACATCATTCATGTTGTTTGTCCCAGCTAACAATATTCAGGAACATCAGTTTTCTGATGCTCAACACACGATAACATAAGGGATGCAGCCTGTCTTCATGACAAGTTTCAGAGCTCAGGATGCACATAATAGACTCCTTTGATAGTAGTTGCTTTTTGACATCATCAGTGTAGAATTCACTCATTTAACAAATACCACTAACATAATTCTTCTAAGAGGTTAGATTTCTTAGTTAAGAGTTTCTACTAGACAGTATAAATGGAAAGGTAAAACATTGTTGCTTCATTTACTTTTCTTTTGAAAATGATGTAACATATTTTTATTGTAATCATAAGCATGAAAACTATATCACAAGGCAATCTCCTTCCTGGGACATTTAGCAGTTTCTCTCCCTGGAAGAGCATCCAACATGAAGTCTTAAGGACCACTCGTCAAAAATTAAGCTACAATTCTGAGAGCTCTAAATGTCAACTCTTCAATAGTAAAAGATGAACGTAAAATCACACACTTTCACTTTCTTTCTCTTTTTTTCCTTCCTTTTTTTTGGGGGGGGTTGGGGGAGGGGGGGTTGGGGGGGGGGGCGGTGTTTAACCAATGAAGAGGTGAAACTTTAATTGATCCTTTTTCTTGTATAGGCAANGGAGGGGGGGTTGGGGGGGGGGCTGTTTAACCAATGAAGAGGTGAAAACTTTATGATCCTTTTCTGTATAGGCAATTAACTCAGCATGTAATGCAGCAGCCAAAAATGGCATCCTCTCATAAAAAAAATTTCATCCCAAAACACAGACAAGAAACCATGCAGTTTCCTCTGTAACAACAGACACCTAACAACATGGAAATCTAAATCAAGCCAAAACACTCAATATTCTTATCATAATACAATCAGTGCACCCAAAATGACATAAAGAAGTAAAAGTAAAGCAAAATTCAAAGCACACCAAATTACTTGCTGTATACTGTGCTTTTGCACCTGAAAAATTGTACATTTCACAAAAAGTTACAATCTTTACCAGAAAAGCTAAAATCTTTCAGATGCAAAAACAAATTACCTTAGTCTGATTTTAGTTAATCAACAGAAAAAGTAAAAAGGTTGTACCTTTTTCAATTGGGACTTTGAAACATCATAATCCACATCATTTTGTTCATCTTCTTCGCCTGAAGCACTTGAAAGGTCCTCACTTTGAGCTGGCTCATAATCTTCATCTTCATCAACCACTTTCTTTTTCCCCTTTTTGTCCTTGCCTTTTTTCTGGGGTTTCTGGGAAGAACCCATCAAAGAAGTTGCCATATTATGGAGACCCATAGCCTCCATTCTTGCTTTGTTTTCTTGAATTCTCTTCATTCTTTGTTTCTCATACTCTGTGATTTTCCCGGTACTTTGGGGTTCCATTTCCACCGGGGAGTCCCCTGAGTCCGAGCTTGAGCCTGAGTTTCTCTCTTCTGTTTCTGAGTCTGAAAGATTCGGTTTTGCCATTTCTTGGGTACAATGGAACTTGGGGTTTTGATGGAACTATACAAGGGTTTTCTGTCTTGTAAAACCCGCGATCTTTGTTTCTGTGGGATGGACAGAGGTACAACAGAGAAAGAACCTCTAACCTCCCTTATACTGTTTTCCCAAATTTACTCCTATCGTAGCCAAATTTTCTCGCAATCTTTTACAAATTACCTCTCAATGTAATTTTTAAAAGTTTGTTAATAGTAGGGTAAATTTGACCTCTAATAGTATAACCAACATTATATATAAATAATATCCGAAAGTAACAAATTATATTTGTCCCTTTTCCCTAGCCAATTTACCTTTTACTTTTCACTCTGGCATAACCATTTACACACCATTATAAAATAGAAAATTTTAAAAAAGAAATGCAAATACAAAATGTTGAATAAATTAACAATGAGAGATGGGCATATACAAAATACAAATTAAATGGAGGGAATATTATTTACTACTACATTTCTTTACCATAATTTAACACTTCCTAAAGAAAATCACCTAGTACTTGTAAACTTTCGTAAGGGCATAAACTTTTTAATACATGAGCCTCAATTACAAGTAATTAAACCATGTGAAAAGGTACACATTTGCTCCTAAACTTTGACGAAAAGGGTCACTATTCAAGCAGTAGCACTACAATAAATGGAATTCAAATAATGTCGATTGCACAACGAAATTAATAGCGTCAAAGCTTCACATTAACCTCCTAACGCTAAAACAAATTCATTTAAGAGAAGGAGTAAATGTGGTCGAGGCTGAAGCAAATGCTTAGATGAGAAGAAGTCAGAGCAAAAGTCAAAACAAGAAATTGTATTTTTAAGAGGGAGAGAATTAATCGTCATGGTGATGGTCAATTTAGAGAGATTAAGGATGACGATCAAGAAAAATAGTTGTCAATTTGGACTATTTCACAAAGTTTAAGGGTAAATTTAGATCATACTGCATAGTTCAATGGTGATTTGAGATCTATATTTTTTGAAAAAATTGCGCGGGGCGTCCTATTTGGTCGTCCCCATTTAACCTATACCCATATTTTTAAAATTATTTAACCTATACCCTAATTTTTACAACTTCAGGCGCCTCCTTCTTCCTGCTACCTACCTGTGCGCTCCTTTCTTCCTCCTTTCTTTTCTACTCTTTATTCTGCTCTTCACTACCAAATCATTTGATAGAAGTTTAGTGGAGAATTGTGGAAAGTGTTCTACTGTCAAAGTTATGTTTATGCTGCTGCTTAAACATTCAACAATTTAAGATTCACATGAATACAGAAGGCACAATAGTTTACGATGTTTTTGCTTTTAGAAGATGATGATAAAAATATTGGACAAGGAACTTTTGTAGCTACATTGATACCATGTTGTTATGCTCTTCAGGTTAATAGGGGACTGCACCAACACAGTTCCTTGTACGAGACCATCATTTGCTACTGTCATAGAAATCCTAGAAGAAGTCTCTTTATTATCAGGAAAAGCAGGTTGTCCGCCAAATAAGCTGAAGTTTGTAGACAACTTCAGCAGAAGAAGTTTTTGAAAAAGCTTTGATAAAACTAATGAATTCAGGACAAAATTTTAGCTTATTTTAGTGCTGAAGTTTTTACAAATGAACTAAATAACTTCAGCATCTTCTGCTGAAGTTTTTGAAAAAGCCTTACGACAAAACTATTGAATCCAAGACAAAACTGAAGCTAAAACATGCTGAAGTTCAGCAAATAGAGAACAAAACTTCAGCTAGTAGAATGCTTAAGTTCAGCAATTACAAACAACTTCAGGCCCGTCTACTAGAATGCTGAAGTTTGCGTGATTGCGTTTGCTACTTCAGACCCGTATGCCTGAAGTTTACGCAAAAAGTGGGTACGCTTGCAATTTTTTTTTGGAATTTTTCTTATATATACTATAATAGGAACTTATTTATCTATTTTCTCTCAATTTTGTAGTTTTTAAAAAGTATCTAGGTTATTGTATACATTCCCTATTAAAAGACTTCTAACCCATTATTAATGCCTTCAATTAAGGGATTCAATTATATTTTTTCCCTTTTTTCTCTCATCTCCTCTCTCCCGCCTCTTCTACCAGATCTGAAAGCAAATTCTTCTTCAAATATTATTTTACCAAATTCTTCTTCCAATTTTTCAAAAATCTAATATAAGATTTTTGCTATTGGTACAAGAATCCACAAGAGAAAATACAAATGGACGAATGCAGTTTAGAAGCAAATATGAAGCCGTAATCGCTATTGAAATGGAAACAAATAAATCCACACCAAAGAAATGCTTATTTTGTGTACGGTGATATTTTCTAAAAAAGTAAACCTTATACAATATATATACAATTATCATACATTTATTATACAATTTGAAAATAATTTCGATACAGTTCTGATATAAATTTGATATAATTATGAACTTCTTCCTTTTCAAGTTTCAATATGAAATTCCACCTAAAACCAGCAACAAACTCCATAAAAAACAGCACAAAACCACCAATAACCATAATTTTTATTTTCAGATTAAAAATCGAGGAGAAAGAACAAATCATATACAAAAAACATACAAACCAATAAAAATTTGATACAATTTTGATACACATATTTTATTAAACTTGTATTAATATTCTATCAGGTATTATTGATGCATCAGATACAACTATAATACAATTCTATATAGTCCTCAAAGAATTTTAATGCAATTGTGATACAATTACCATACAATCCTAATTCAATTCTTAACTACTACTACTACTACTACCAACTCTAAACTTGACCAAATTCCCTCAAAATTGAGATATAAACTCCAAAGTATATTCTCAATCGTTTGGAAGAAAACTCAATCCAAACAAATCACAAATTCATAAAATTCGAATATTGATACAATTGTGATACAATTAGTATACAATCGTGATACAATTCTAAAACAACTTCTTCTTCGAGTTTCAATCTGAAAACTTTAACTAAAAACAACTTTGAACTTAACCAATCTCCCTTAAAATTAAAATATAAACTTCAAGGTATATTTTTAGTCATTTACAAGAACACTCAATCCAAACAACTCACAAATTCTTAAAATCTGAATATTGAATTCAAAGCTTCGAAACTTTTTAATGACTGTTAATAAAGCACCTTTCATGCTGCAATTTTAGAGATAATGTTGATATATTGTATGAAGTGGGAGAGGTTTGGGTTGATTTATATGAAAGAGAAAGGAATATTTTGAAATCTTTTTTTAAAATGTGTTGAAAATGTGATTGTAGGGGTTTTCTATAATTGATAACGTGAGAGTGAGAAGGGGAGGGGGGAGGGGGCAATGTGGGAGGGGGACTATATCAGTTACATGCTAAATTTAAGGGATGCTCTTTTTTAAGGTTTTGTATATAAGTAGTAAATATAGATAGAGAATGTAATTTTTAAGGAAGTGGTAAATAAGTTTCTCTAATAGTATAGCTAGGTAAATATTGCAAAGCGGATATAAATTAAAACGTGACTCGAAAAGTGGGTATAGATGTAAATCCCCCCATATTTTTTTTCTAAAAAGGCCCACGTATTAAATTTTTTTTTAGACAATTTCCCAAAATTCATGAGCAAAATTGAACATTTTCCATATTAAAAAAATGAGGAAGCAAAAACCGCTAAAAACAAAAAGGTGTTGCTAATTCCTATGTAAGTAGCGGTGCTCAAATACCAACCCATCCCGTCTTTTATCACTTACTACTCATTGTACGCATATCCTCTTCCTCATTACATTCTCTCTCCACTTACCATTCAAACAAATGGCGAATCTTGATTTCATCCTTCAAACAGGCTTCTAAATAAAGCTTAATACAACTCCATATCATCAATACCCTCAATTTCATATAATGGCTTCTTCTTGTATAGATTTTGATAGATTCAAGCTGCTTCCTCTTTCCCTCACTTCCCTCTCCAATTCCCATTCTCCTTCTACCTCATCCAGAACCTTAATTTTGACCCGACCCAGATGCTCAATTCCAAGAATTGGGCTTTTTCTTTATGGGTCCAGACTTAGGAGAGAGGTTTCGGGTATCATACCCAGAACCATTTTCTTGAAACATCCTCGAATTATCACTGCCGTTGCTCGTGCTGAACCCAATGAGGTAACTATTAGTCCTTGTTAGTTTGGCTTGAGAGTTTTATAAATTTTATTTTTGATTGTTAGAAGAAAATGTCTGCAAAATCATGATAGTAATTATTTAAGTTGAATATAAGATGAAACAGGATCCCTACTTCTCATTTGATGATAATGAGTGGTTCAGCTTTAACAAACGCTTTATTACTAAGTTAACTGTTGCATCAACCAATGGGTGTGTGTGGCTGTTTGATCTAATTAGTCACATTTGGGAGTTATATAAGCGTTTTTTTCTTCTTATCTTGGTTTGATCTTGTGGGGTCCATCCCCATAATAATAAAAAAAAAGAAAAGAAAAAAAGAAGAAGATGAAGTTAGATTCCAAATCTCCGAATCGGTTTTGCCAAACAATTTGCAAGAATGCAAATTGGCAAGTTGCAATTCAAATTGCAAATGAACCAATGTTCCTGATTGGTCAAGTGGGCGGCAACTTCACCCTATAAAAGGAGGCTCTCGGCTTCTTCATTTAATACACACAGAAAGAAAAGCAACGCAGTAGTTGCTAAGAGTATTTCTCAGACATTGTGAGAAATATAGACTGCGCAGGGAGAATGGAGAGTGTGAGCGATATTGTAGTGAGGTGGAAATCTTAAAAGAGGGTTATTTCTTTTGAGTGTATAGTGGTCCCTGGAGTATTTTACTCGGACTACTGGGTGTAAAATTCCTCATTATAGTGGATTACTTTGCTCCTCTCGGGCTCGTGGTTTTTTCCCTTATTCAGAAGGGTTTTCCACGTTAAAAATCTTTGTGTCCTTGTTGTTCTTTTTTTATTCTTGTTGATTACCGTATCTCTGTACTATATTATTATTCCGCTGTTATTACCGTTAATATTATTTCTGTGGGGGGATTATTCCCAACAACTGGTATCAGAGCGTAGTTCTGCTCGTTCACAGAAATATTATTCACTGTCGATAGTACTATACTAAGTGAAAAACAAAAATGTCGGGAGTAAAGTACGAGGTAGCAAAGTTTAACGGAGATAGCGGTTTCTCAACATGGCAAAGAAGGATGAGGGATCCGCTCATTCAATAGGGATTACACAAGGTACTAGATGCTGATGCCAAAAAGCCTGATACCATGAAAGCTGAGGATTGGGCTGACTTGGATAAAAAGACTGCTAGTGCAATCAGGTTGCACTTATCAGATGATGTGGTAAATAACATCATTGATGAAGACACCGCATGTGGTATTTGGACAAGGTTGGAAAGCCTATACATGTCCAAAACGCTGACAAATAAATTGTACCTGAAGAAGCAGTTATACGCCCTACACATGGGTGAAGGTATGAATTTTTTGTCACATTTAAATGTGTTTAACGGACTAATCACACAGCTTGCCAACCTCGGAGTGAAAATCGAGGAAGAAGATAAGGCCATTTTGCTGTTGAACTTGTTGCCATCTTCGTACGATAATTCGGCAACAACCATCCTGCACGGTAAGACTACCATTGAGTTGAAAGACGTCACATCGGCTCTTCTACTCAATGAGAAGATGAGAAAGAAGCCTGAAAATCAAGGACATGCTCTCATCACAGAAGGTAGAGGCAGGAGTTATCAAAGGAGTTCAAGCAATTATGGTAGATCTGGAGCTCGTGGGAAATCCAGGAACCGATCCAAGTCAAAAGCCAGAAATTGCTACAATTGCGATCAACCAGGTCACTTCAAAAGAGACTGCCCAAATCTAAGGAAGGGCAAAGGTGAAAGCAGTGGCCAGAAGAATGACGACAACACAACCGCCATGGTGCAAAATAATGATAATGTTGTTCTCTCCATAAATGACGAAGAGGAATGCATGCACTTGGCAGGTCCAGAGTCGGAATGGGTGGTTGACACATCGTCATCTTACCCCACACCGGTAAGAGATTTTTTTTGCAGATATGTAGCAGGTGATTTCGACACTGTGAGAATGGGTCACACAAGTTACTCAAAGATTGCGGGGATTGGTGACATTTGTATCAAGACAAATGTCGGATGCACATTGGTTCTAAAGCACGTGCAGCATGTACCTGATTTGCGGATGAACTTGATCTCGGGAATTGCTTTGGACCGAGATGGGTATGAGAACTATTTTGCAAATCAAAAGTCGAGACTCACCAAGGGATTATTGGTGATTGCAAAGGGAGTTGCTCGTGGCACGTTGTACAAGACAAATGCAGAAATATGCCGAGGTGAATTGAACGCGGCACAAGATGAGATTTCTGCAGATATGTGGCACAAAAGAATGGGTTATATGAGCGAGAAGGGATTGCAGATTCTTGCTGGGAAATCACTCATCTCTTTTGCCAAAGGTACAATAGTAAAACCTTGTGACTACTGTTTATTTGGTAAGCAGCATAGAGTCTCATTTCAGACATCATCTGGAAGAAAATTGAATATACTTAGATTTAGTATATTCTGATGTTTGTAGTCCAATGGAAATTGAATCAATGGGCGGTAACAAATATTTTGTTACTTTTATTGATGATGCTTCACGTAAATTGTGGGTTTATATCTTGAAAACCAAAGATCAGGTGTTTCAAGTTTTCTTCATGCTCTGGTAGAAAGGGAGACGGGTCGAAAGCTAAAGCATCTCCGAAGTGACAATGGAGGTGAGTACACTTCAAGGGAATTGGAAGATCATGGGATCAGACATGAAAAGATAGTTCCGGGAACTCCACAACACAATGGCGCAGTTGAGAGGATGAACCGCACCATTGTTGAGAGGGTGAGAAGCATGCTCAGAATGGCTAAACTGCCTAAGTCATTCTGGGGTGAAGCAGTTCGGACAACCTGTTACCTGATCAATAGGTGTCCATCAGTTCCATTGGAGTTTGACATCCCAGAGAGAGTTTGGACCAACAAGGAGATGTCCTACTCACATCTGAAGGTGTGCAAACATCTGAAGGTGTTCGGTTGCAGAGTTTTTGCACATGTACCAAAGGAGCAGAGAACAAAGTTGGATGATAAATCCGTTCCCTGCATATTCATCGGATATGGAGATGAAGAGTTCGGGTACAGATTGTGGGATCCAGTAAAGAAAAGGTCATCAAAAGCAGAGATGTAATCTTCCGAGAAAGTGAAGTTGGAGCTGTAGATGATCAGTTAGAGAAGGCCAAGAATGGTATAATCCCTAACCTTTTTACTATTCCTTCTACTTTTAACAATCCCACAAGTGCAGAAAGTAGGGTCGACGAGGTTGCCGAGCAGGGGGAGAAACCTGGTGAGGTTATTGAGCAGGGGGAGCAACTTGATGATGATGTCGAGCAAGTGGAGCACCCCACTCAGAGGAGAAGAACAACCTCAACCCCTGAGGAGATCGGAAAGGCCAAGGGTAGAGTAATGCAGGTACCCTTCCACAGAGTACGTCCTCATCAGTGATGAGGGGGAGCCAGAAAGCCTTAAGGAGGTGTTGTCCCATCCAGAAAAGAACCAGTGGATGAAAGCCATGCAAGAAGAGATGGAATCTCTACAGAAAAATGGCACGTACAAGCTGGTTGAACTTCCAAAGGGTAAAAGACCACTCAAATGCAAGTGGGTCTTTAAACTCAAGAAAGATGGAAATGGCAAGCTGGTCAGATACAAAGCTCAATTGGTCGTTAAAGGCTTCGAACAGAAGAAAGGTATTGCTTTTGATGAAATTTTCTCACCTGTTGTCAAAATGACTTATATTCGTACAATCTTGAGCTTAGCAGCTAGCCTAGATCTTGAAGTGGAGCAGTTGGATGTGAAAACTGCATTTCTTCATGGAGATTTAGAAGAGGAGATTTATTTGGAGCAGCCAGAAGGATTTGAAGTAGCTGGAATGAAACACATGGTGTGCAAATTGAATAAGAGTCTTTATCGGTTGAAGCAGGCACCAAGTATACGAAGTTTGGCTCATTCATGAAAAGTCAAACATACATAAAGACCTATTCCGATCCATGTGTATACTTCAAAAGATTTTCTGATAAAAATTTTATTATATTTTTGTTGTATGTGGATGACATGTTGATTGTAGGACAAGACAAGAAGCTGATTGCAAAGTTGAAGAAAGATTTGTCCAAGTCATTTAATGACTTGGGTCCAACACAACAAATTCTGGGATTGAAGATTGTTCGAGAGCGAACAAGCAGAAAGTTGTGGCTGTCTTAGGAGAAGTACATTGAACGTGTACTAGAACGCTTCAACATGAAGAATGCTAAGCCAGTCAACACACTCTTACTAGTCATCTGAAGTTGAGCAAGAAGATGTGTCCTACAACAATGGAGGAAAAGGAGAGCATGACCAAAGTTACTTATTCTTTTGCCGTCGGAAGTTTGATGTATGCAATGGTATGCACTAGACCTGATATTGCTCACGCAGTTGGTGTTGTCAGCAGGTTTCTTGAAAATACTGGAAAAGAACACTGGGAAGCAGTCAAGTGGATACTCAGGTACCTGATAGGTACCGCAAGAGATTGTTTGTGCTTTGGAGGATCTGATCCAGTCTTGAAAGGCTATAAAGATGCAGATATGGCAGGTGACAATGATAACAGAAAATCCACTACTGGATATTTGTTTACATTTTCAGGGGGAGCTATATCATGACAGTCGAGGTTGCAGAAGTGTGTCGCACTCTCTACAACTGAAGCGGAGCACATTGCCGCTACAGAAGCTGGCAAGGAGATGATATGGCTGAAACGGTTCCTTCAAGAGCTTGGCTTGCAGCTGAAGGAGTATGTTGTCTATTGTGACAGTCAAAGTGCAATAGACTTGAGCAAGAACTCCATGTACCATGCAAGAACCAAACATATCGATGTAAGATATCATTGGATCCGAGAAAAGGTAGGGAGTGAATCTCTGCAAGTCCTGAAGATCTCCACAAGTGAGAATGCTGCAGACCAAGGTGGTACCAAGAGACAAGTTCGAGTTGTGCAAAGAACTTATCGGCATGCACTCAAGTTAGAAGTCCAGTGTTACCTCCTTTCGGTGAATGGGTTAGGAGGGGGAGATTGTGGGGTCCATCCCCATAATAATAAAGAAAAAGAAAAGAAAAAAAGAAGAAGATGAAGTTAGATTCCAAATCTCCGAACCGGTTTTGCCAAACAATTTGCAAGAATGCAAATTGGCAAGTTGCAATTCAAATTGCAAATGAACCAATGCTCCTTATTGGTCAAGTGGGCGGCAACTTCACCCTATAAAAGGAGGCTCTCGGCTTCTTCATTTAATACACACAGAAAGAAAAGCAATGCAGTAGTTGCAGAGAGTATTTCTCAAACATTGTGAGAAATATAGATTGTGTAGGGAGAATAGAGAGTGTGAGCGATATTGTAGTGAGGTGGAAATCTTAAAAGAGGGTTATTTCTTTTGAGTGTATAGTGGTCCCTGGAGTATTTTACTCGGACTATTGAGTGTAAAATTCCTCATTATAGTGGATTACTTTGCTCCTCTCGGGCTCGTGGTTTTTTCCCTTATTCAGAAGGTTTTCCACGTTAAAAATCTTTGTGTCCTTGTTGTTCTTTTTTTATTCTTGTTGATTACCGTATCTCGGTACTACATTATTATTCCGCTGTTATTACCGTTAATATTATTTCTGTGGGAGGATTATTCCCAACAGATCTATGCATGTCATGGTCAAAGTAGATAATTGAATTGGAATCACTGAGATAATTATGTTGTAGGAAGTCAACAAAGGCAACAGTACAACGGCGAGGGAAATTCCCACTTCTGAACTTAAGCAGAAAAATAGTCAACTGAAGAAAAGGGTAGTCTTTGGACTTGGTATAGGTATTTCTGTCGGAGGTGTGGTATTGGCTGGAGGATGGGTTTTCACTGTTGCCCTTGCTGCAGCTGTTTTTATGGGTGCACGAGAGTACTTTGAGCTGGTTAGGAGTCGTGGAATTGCTGATGGAATGACTCCTCCTCCTCGATACATATCAAGAGTTTGCTCTGTAATCTGTGCTCTCATGCCTGTACTCACACTGTAAGTGTCATCATCTACCTTTTCAACTTTCATTCTGTATTAAGGAAACATACTTCTGATTTTCTGTTAAACCACCTTAGTCCTCAGAAGACACCGTGCCATTAATCCCATGCCACAGGTATTTAGGAATTGGAACAATAACAGCAAGACCTTATCAAAAAAAACAATAACAGCAAGATTTCATGCCTGCATCATCTATTGTACGTTGATGGATCAATGTAACGCTTTAAACAAAATGGATATATGCATGGACAGAAAATATTTTTGACGTTTACTTCATGATATCATTCAATATTCGTGACCTTTGCTCATTAAGATAAATAGATTATTTATTTGCTGTCGCACTGACCCTCACCAGAATTATCAGCGGAAAGACTTTGATTTATACAAAATGTGAACCGTGCATTCCATTGGGAAGACCTGCATAACTGTGACTGTATTTCTCAGCCTTTTAGAAAATTAGGCCAATAACGCTAGAAAATGATGACTTGATCCGTCATTCATTTGTGCATTGAACGTCAGATACCTGTGCTAGCCAACATTGTGTGTAACCTCTTGTCTTCTTTTCTATTCTTTTCGGACTCCAATACTTTGAAGAATTATGACCCATTTTGTGCATCTCAATTTAAACCGGGAACCTGCCACATGATTAAACCCTTTTGTTGTGGTTGAACTTGCTTGTTTAGACAGTCCCATGTCTTTGCTTTATCCTTTAGGTTAGAAACGGCAAAATTTATCACTTCAAGAAGAGTTAATGGGACAAATTTTTTACAGAGCTATGAATGTCATCTTGAAGGTCTTCTCTTTACTTGGATTAACAGCAACCTGAAGACACTGATACTTTTATCATGCTTCCCCTATGGTCAGACCCTATGTATGATTTTCGTCTACAATTAGGCTTTGTTCTTCCCCAGTAAATGGACAGTGGTTTCAATCTATAGTACCTTGATAATCATGCTTGAGGCCAGCATACAATATCTTAGAGTTGTTTTAGTTGTTATTTCTTTCTTGTCGTTTATGATTTATTTATTTTCTGGAATTTGTTAATTTGAAGGTTTTCTAATTGATTACTCTTCGAATTTTTTGTCAGATATTTAGGTCAGATTGATGTTTCTGTTACCTCTGCGGCTTTTGTTGTTGCAATGGCACTGTTGATGCAAAGGGGAATTCCTCGTTTTGCTCAACTTACTAGTGCCATGTTTGGGCTCTTTTATTGTGGCTATCTCCCTTGTTTCTGGGTTAAGTTGAGATGCGGTTTGGCAGTACCTGCTCTGAACACTAGTAAGAACTGATGCCCTTTGTTCTGATTGTTTAGAAATAAAAAAGTATATACATATGGGCTAGCCCCCAGGGCTTTGGTCTAGTGTATTAATGCAGCGCGTGACGTGTGGGTTAGGCACTCGTCATGGGTTTGAAACCTGCTGTAGACAAAAGTGTGGCATTTAAGTGGAGAAGGGTAGAGGGTAGACCCATTATCGATTGAGTTTCAGACCATGTGACAGTGTCCCTCGAGTATTTCTCGGTTATTTAAAGAAGTGTATGTGTATATATGTACACAGACACACACGTTTATCATGATCTGGATTCAAGTTACTCATCAATGTGCTCCAGTGAAACACTGACATGTGTTGGACATGCACGCAAGTTTGTACTTTTGAAATTCCAGACATGATATCTCTTCTATAAAACATAAAATTCCTTAATCCCATTTTCATAATCCATTGTTTGCGTCATGTTCTCTCAAGTAACCCTCAAATGGTCAGACGAAGGACAAAGATTGTCTTCCTTTTTTAAGTACTCAGTTATTTAGGCGTCCAGAATTAAATTTCTGAAGTTATGAAGAAAAACTAGATCAAGTAGAAATATTGAAGAAAAATTGTTGGCAGGATCTTAAGAATCCATAAACTAATGGAGTATGTTTTCTTATGTCTTTTGAAGTAGTCGCTATAACTACGTTGTTCTTTTGTTGTTGAAAAAAATATGTACTATAATCTTGTGTTAGCTACGTGTGTGTCTCCTTTAATTATGATATTTGTATCTGTGTTCCAACAATTGGAGCCTCTCTGCCCTTCTAGCGTAAGGGTAAGGCTGTGTACATCTTACCCTCCCAGAACCACTTGTGGGAAGTCACTGGGTTTTTTGTTGTTGTTGTTGTGTCCAACAGGAAATTAATGTTGGTCAAGGCGCTACTTAGGTGCTTTTCATGGTCTTCAGTGGGCTATATTTTGGGTATAGCTTTTATATTTCAGCATCCCAATCGCCCCCAATCATTCCCTATTAGGATGATAATCAGGTTATGAGCTTCATTGCTCATTCTCAATTCATGGTCTTTGATGATATTCATGCCGATAGAAAAGTAGAGAACCTAAACTGCTAGAGAACCTAAATCATTGAATACTAGAACGAGACAGCCATAAGACATTGGATAGTGAGAATTTATATAGCGACCCCCAGTAGCTGGGATTGAGGGATGTTTGTTGTTGTTGTTACCTTTAGGCTAGTACATTGAACTAATTCATAATTATGGACATTAATGTAGTTCTTTACAAAGGAATCTATAGTACCCCGGAATATGGATACTGAATCATAGGAATGCTTTATTTGTGCCACATTTACAGTCTGGCACCGACACTAGTGGGACAGCCCTTACGTATGGTGTCCAACGACAACTCAAAGTTGCAGTCTTGTATATAATCTTTTTAATTCATACGCAGTTATTACCTATTTGAGACACGAATCACCCTATTGCGCATACAGGAGTTCACTCACAGGAGTTCACACACAGGAGTTCTCCCAAGATTTTGCTGTTTCCAGAATTGTTCTCTTCGGATACATAATATCTATTCTGAGAAAGAACATTTAAGGTTCTATATGTCCTTTATTACTAGCTTTTTGGTGTTTCCAGATAGTGGTTTTAAGCTAGAGAAGTTATTTTAACTTCTTGCAAGAAGATGTTATCAAAAGAAATGTTAACAAAAACTTTTTGCAAGAGTAGTCTCCAATCTAATGTTACATCCTTACTTTGTATGTGAAATGAATTAATTTTACTGCATAAAGAAAGATAAGTTTATTGTTTTCTTCTTAATTTTAGAAGGAAAAAAACACTAATGACTAAACTATTCTTAATTTTAGAAGGAAAAAAACACTAATGACTAAACTAATTTTAAAACTCTTTTAGTCGATAAGGCACAAATTGGAAAGAGTGGAAGAGATTGCCACTAGAGTTAAACACTTAAAATTGTGTTTTATTTTGGAAGTACTTGAATTATTTTGCCTTATTAGTGAACCATTAAAACTCTGCCCATTTCAAAAGCTTACTTCTCACTTTTCCTTTTTGAGTTGTCCCCAAATAGTGTCTAGTTTACCTGTTTGTTGTCCCAAGATAATGTACACGTCAAGTATTTCCCTTCACCTTAACAAAAAAAGATTTCTTTCGGCATATTTCTACGGCTAATGGATATGTAATACATTCTAACTCTTGTCCAATTTTTCATTATCGTACTTAAAAATACAAAAACCTCACGTGGAAGTCATAACCCCAAATGGTTAGCTAGAGAAAAGGTCCTCCTTCCACAAAACCATNTAGTTGCAGAGAGTATTTCTCAAACATTGTGAGAAATATAGATTGTGTAGGGAGAATAGAGAGTGTGAGCGATATTGTAGTGAGGTGGAAATCTTAAAAGAGGGTTATTTCTTTTGAGTGTATAGTGGTCCCTGGAGTATTTTACTCGGACTATTGAGTGTAAAATTCCTCATTATAGTGGATTACTTTGCTCCTCTCGGGCTCGTGGTTTTTTCCCTTATTCAGAAGGTTTTCCACGTTAAAAATCTTTGTGTCCTTGTTGTTCTTTTTTTATTCTTGTTGATTACCGTATCTCGGTACTACATTATTATTCCGCTGTTATTACCGTTAATATTATTTCTGTGGGAGGATTATTCCCAACAGATCTATGCATGTCATGGTCAAAGTAGATAATTGAATTGGAATCACTGAGATAATTATGTTGTAGGAAGTCAACAAAGGCAACAGTACAACGGCGAGGGAAATTCCCACTTCTGAACTTAAGCAGAAAAATAGTCAACTGAAGAAAAGGGTAGTCTTTGGACTTGGTATAGGTATTTCTGTCGGAGGTGTGGTATTGGCTGGAGGATGGGTTTTCACTGTTGCCCTTGCTGCAGCTGTTTTTATGGGTGCACGAGAGTACTTTGAGCTGGTTAGGAGTCGTGGAATTGCTGATGGAATGACTCCTCCTCCTCGATACATATCAAGAGTTTGCTCTGTAATCTGTGCTCTCATGCCTGTACTCACACTGTAAGTGTCATCATCTACCTTTTCAACTTTCATTCTGTATTAAGGAAACATACTTCTGATTTTCTGTTAAACCACCTTAGTCCTCAGAAGACCACCGTTGCCATTAATCCCGATGCCACAGGTATTTAGGAATTGGAACATAACAGCA